TATTATCAGGCAATTGCACCATAAGTGATCATTGGTCTGACTATCATCACATGAATTCAGTGGATTTGTTTGGAACCTAAACCCCATGTCCATAGAGACAGTCTGGCTTTGTATAAAACGTTTTCCAAGTGAGCGTTCCAGGTGAGTTTTTTATCAAGGACAATGCCAAGATATTTCACCTCCGTTCCAATTGGAAAAGTGGCATTAGATCGTTCAATTTTGTCTTCTAGGTGAAGGGGATCAACACAGTTTTGCTAGGGTTGACAGACATTTGCTCCCTCAGGCACCAACTGTGAACAACGTATAACACGCTTTGGATGATATTAAAGGCTACCCTTCCCGACGTGGTCTTTGCCAGGATGACAAGTCATCTGCATATGCTTGCAGATCAACTTTTCTTCTGTCGAGGGCATCAAGCAGACTATTCATTAGGAGCGACCACAGAAAGAGCCAGATCCAGCCAGTTATGGTCAATTCTATGCCCTTCTTAGCTAGAGACGAACCTATAGATTTAGGTAATGCATTGTCAAATCTTCAATATCAAGAAATACAACAACCGCAATTTCCTTGTTGTCAAGGGATTGGGAGATTTTCTCAACGAGGTTGTTTAATACTGAATCTGTCGATTTGCCGGTTTGATAAGAATACTGGTGGTTATTCAGGGGGATGCATATAATGGTACCCTCCTGATGTCGTACCGATTTAGGCTGTGGGTCTCTCCGACCCACTTTAGGTATATATACCACCCTTGTTGCCAACCAACTGGGTGGTATATAGTTCCACGCCACACTAGCTCTATACAATTTTGTGAGAATAGGTAAAATTATTTCCAGTCTGTTTTGAAGAAGAGCTGAAAATATACCATCCTCTCCGGGAAATTTGGAGGGCTGAAAAGAATTGATAGCCCATTCAACTGCCGGTGCTGTGATAACCTTCTTTGCGACGTCCCAATCGTTCTTTTTTAAGCGTCTAGCGCCCTCGTAGATGGAAGGTTTGTTGTTATCAAGAGTCAGATTTCCAGGAAAGTGGTTTTCTATCAGAAGCACTAACGTTTCTTTACTAGAGGTCGTGAAAGTTCCATCGGGTCGTTTATATAAAACGAAACTTCCTATGTTTTTGTACCACTTGTATTCGTAACTATCGTTACAAATATAAGTGGTATAAAAACATAGGAAGTTTTATTTCTCATTCTTCATTAATGACATACTATCATGTAGTAACAGCTATATCCGTCAATTTATAACAATATAGTCCATATTCAGGCAAATGCGAATTCCGACCTCCGAGTTTCTTTGGGTGATGTACCACTTGGTGAAAAATCGTCATCAAAAGAAACCTGAAAATATGAATACTTCTATAACAATTTGAATTGAAGAGGTTATATTTTTAGGAGTGATTAATTTTTGGGAAAGAAAGTTTTTGGCTTTCTACTACTCCATCTTGATACAAAAAATGTGGGAATCTTCCAAAGAAAGCAAGAAAGTAATCAATTTGAAAATAAGTAACTCTATTCATGGATGTGTAGATCATGCAAATAACTAACTTTAAGACACAAACTGAAAGAAAGCCCTCCTGAAACAGCTACTTTTATATAAACATTGTATTACACAAAAGAAAAAAAATCTTTCGAAACAAATAGTTTTATATGAACACTGAATTATACAGAAAGAATTTCGTGTAATTGTTTATATGAAAGTAGCTGTTTCAGGAGGGCTTCCTTTCAGTTTGTGTCTGAAAGTTACTTCTTTGCATGATCTACATATCCATGTATAGAGTTACTTATTTTCAAATTGATTACTTCCTTCATTTCTTTGGAAGATTCCCACAATTTTTTGTACCAAGATGGAGTAGTAGAAAGCCAAAAACTTTCTATAACAACATATTGATCAGTGTCACTATATTCGTTTGGCTTCAAATCCGAATGAAAAAAGTGACACTGAAAACCTTGGCCCCGAAAGCCTCAACCATTTACATGTATCAATTTTAAAGTAACTGAAAAATGATTGGGCACTAAACCAATAAATATTGCTTTTACTTTTTTTACATTTAATTTTTTTAGTTCAACGGTTGTTGAATATAGTAACCTTTCCACAACTTTTATTATCAGGCAAAGTTATTCCAATATTTATTAAAAAAAAACAGACAATGAGTAGAAAATTATAGACCGATTATAGCGCCCTCCTCATCTTCAAAAATATTTGACTTTATCATTCTAGAACTTCTCATGAAATTTGCAGAAAAACACATCTCCTCTCATAATCAATATTGTTTTTTCATCACGATATGAACAAATACGGCCTTGCTGTCTTTTTTCGAAAAACTTTTACTTATCTAAGGTTGGACGGAAGAGCAAGTTTTGTCTATGTTTTGAACATAGACGAAAAATGAATCCTGCCATTTGATAAGAGCTATATATGTACTGGTTACCTATGTATGAACTTATCAATAAAACCAAGTATTATCATTATTATTATATGATTGTGCGCGGTGAATGTCCTGCTGGGGTTTTCTGTGAGTAGAGCAGGGCTATTGACTGCGTCAAACAAGATATTCTCCTAGACAAATAGGCCTTTTCATCACAACTTTTTTGTGCGCGCATGCGTCAGTATCAGCCATCTTTTTCTTACTGTTTTTTGTAAACAACCATGTTAAAGAGCCTAATTGTAAAAAAAGTTGAAAAAAAATTAAGTAGTGAGTCAAAATAATCAGAAAAAAATTTTTGTACTCCATTATAATTATGTTATCTGTACGAAAAGGAACAACAAAACGGTGTTGTTATGGAGTATGTGTAAAAGGGATACACGATACAAATCATTCAAAACCAACAAATACTATTTTATAAATTTTCCAAAGCCTTGTCTTGAATATCGCAAAAAAAATAATCAAATCATCAAGCAANCAAACAAAACCATGAAATAAAATACAAGTGAAAAATAGAAAAATTAAACAAATAATAAAGAATATAAAATAAAGGGATTCAAAGCCAAGTTACTTTACTACGTTTCGATTGTCAGTATCCCTAATCGGAAGACAATAGGCAATAGATAATGCTAAAAACAGCTGTTTTTTTTTAATCGGCGAGAAGTTCGTTAATGCAGAAATTCGTTAAAGGAGTAGTGTGCTTTCAGTACAAGATGATTTTTCAGCTTAGCTATAAAGGAATATATGCTAATGGAAGATTAGATATTGTCGTTAAGAGCATTATAGAGCCTGACACACATCGATCCCGGATGATTCTGCGACACTGATAATCTAGTTAATGGTTGTTGTAGTTTATATTTATTTCTAGTACTATAGTCATGAGAGTGTCCACAAGTAGAAATATTAGTAATATTTTTTCTCATATAAACAATGCAGTGGTATATAAACAAACAGGTAAAAATTATACCAATTTCAACAAAGAGTGGTTTGCAGTGTTCTCTCTGGCATACCACCTTCATTAAGAGGGGAGTGGGAAAGAAAAAAAATTTATCCTGAAAGTTCAGAGCCTATGCATAGAAATGCATCCGGAGAGAAATGAGAATAGAGTGAGTGTATTCGGAAGTACTATTACAACAAAATAACACAGAATACAATGCAAAACTAAGTGTCTTCTACAAAAATATATAAATTTATTAATCGGTTTGAGAAATTTGAGTTAAATTTTTCATTCTATCACTATTTTTGTATCTTCAATTAACAATAAATTTCTAGAACATTGAAAATGTATTAACTCATTGTACTATATGTTTTTATGAAACGGTTATTATTACATTGTATAAAAATATTACATCGAATAAATGACAAGTAGAATTCGAATGTTTGTGATATTGATGTTTTCCCTGTGTTTGATGTTCAAATTATAACACCTAGATGTCGCCTACTCTACGAAAGTATACTTACCCAATGTGTGCTGACATTGTTTTGATTGGGTGGTTTATCAATACAGAAAAGATCATATTCGTTAAAAGGCTCTTCATCATCAAAGTCAATTAGTTTTTCTTCCTGAACGTTCTTGATAATGGCATTCACTTTGTTCAAGTCATTTATAATATCCTCTTGTGTTTGAATGTTATTTTTGGTTGAATTGTTTATCGTTTGTGGCTGTTGTCGCCATGTTTCGTAAGCGGTGGTGAAAGCGTGAGCAACAGCTAACGTAACAGTTTCTGTAACTTTTCTTCTTGGGCATAGGAAAGCATGACACTCTGATGTTTTATCGGGATCTGTTGAAATGAATGAGAAGATCTGACGATGAGTTGGGTCCGTTGAACAATTGGATATCCTGAAAAATTATCACAATCTCAAATATAATTCGTTTTCAACGTACGATAAAATATGTTCTTATTTTGATGACGAAATAAGAATTATGCCGGCAAACAATTGAAACTTCCTAAGGTGTTAATAAACGAAAATTGTAAATATTTTTACGGTTGATGAACATTAGTATGAGTTTCTAGGAGAAGAAACCCTTTCACCGAATTGGAATATATTTAGCATAAATCATTATCTTTTCTTCAAGAAGATAGAGGGATTTGTATCTTCAACATATCTTACTGTAATGTAGAATTGGAACCACAGACGCTTAATAAATTGAATAAAAATATTTTTCGCAATCACCAGAACTCTATAACAGTATTTCCGACGCACGTTTCACTAACCAAGCTCAGTTGGTGAGAGTTCTGGTGTGGGACAAGTGTGAGAAAAGATTTGTATCTTCAACATATCTTACTGTAATGTAGAATTGGAACCCCAGACGCTTAATAAATTGAATAAATATATTTTCCGCAATCACCAGAACTCTATAACATTATTTCCGACGCACGTTTCACTAACCAAGCTCAGTTGGTGAGAGTTCTGGTGTGGGACAAGTGTGAGAAATGTCGAATTTATTGAAAATACTAGTCCAAAAATGCATACTGTCCTACTACAAAACTTCAATTCCTCCCAAAGCATAAAAGTACTCAAAAATTACTTACATCAAAAATACAGGTAGAAAAATACATACTTAGTCTCATTTACCTATGCTTGACCATGAAGACCTGAAGAATTTACCGGCTTGCTTTATTACAGAAGAATAACAAATTTGAAATGATATCATTATTGATTTATTCCATCTACTCAGAGCGACATTCTGTCGGTCCCGAGCATTACTCGCCTATAGGGCGTTTGAGAAAAGATCTGATGAGTGTGAATGCGGTAATTCTTTTACTGACAGGTTATTTGAATTATCTATCCCTAACTCAAATTGTTTTTTCCTACACCTTATAACGACGGTTACCGTACCGAATTTGTTTATAAGAATAAATTGAAATAATACAGTGCGGCATATTGAGGTTCCATTAAAAATTTGAGATGAAGTAGTGGTGTTATCGAAAATTGTTTCGTATAAAAGTTGGGATTTTTTGGAATATCCTCCTATACACAGGGTACCCAGTAGAGGCATATCAAAGTTAGGTTTTTTTCATTGGGATTAAGATATATTATTTTTCATTATCGGGTTCCGCCAGAAAAGTTATTTTGAAAAATATGTATGAGTATGTAACAAGATGTTCAGAAGTAATGACGTCAACTTGCTTGGTGAAATGCCCGTCGAAGAGAGTGTTGCAGTTCTGGTGTTTGAAGAAGTGCTAATTTGGAATTAATTTTTCGTCAGTTGTAAAATTTTACATTTCAACACAGTCTTTGTTTGTGATATCAGTCGAAGCGAAAGTCGGAAGTATGGAAATAAGTTTCTTGTTGAAAGTGATCATAAGCTACTAGAGACTATTTTGAAGAAAGTTCTTGATCTTGGAGTTTAAAGAGGTAAAGAATTAGCCTTCAATTCTATAATTTTTACGTCAAATATAAACCAGGAGTTCAGATGTATTTTGCAGATGCCTTATCAAAGGCTAGTTTCGATGAACACACTTTTGATATGAATGAATCCTTAATTAACGCTCATAGTAATTTGATAGACTCAGGAAATGTTGTTAGTTGAAAAAATAATTAAATTGAAGGTGAAACAAAACATGCTGAAGAAATGAAGATTTTACTGAAATATATCAAGGAGAGTTGGCCAAACGTGAAGTCGAAAAGTCAGTAAGATGTTTTCGCAATTTTGAAGATGAGTTAGTGAAAAATGATAAGGATATTAAAAACGATACTAAGATCTGAAAAACTGATATTTCAGCCATTTATTTATAGTTTGAATAGAACTGCCTGATACTTGATGAAAATCCATATTAAAACAGGTTACGCTTGAGGAAGCTATTGTATAGCGAAACACGTGTCGCAGTTTTTGTAAAACCCTTTATAGTGAAAATCTTACAATAAACTGTATTAATTAGTTATAATTATAGTTGTTGAATGACATTTTAAAAAATCAGAAGAAAACTCTTATAATAGGAGAAACCGCTAATATGTGTCTATTGCAAATTTCTCGAAATATTTATTCTAGGTGATACCACAAGTAAAGGAGTTATATTAAAAATCCAAGAAATTTCGGCAGAAGATGGTTTACCAGAAATATTTTGTAGTATTGGGAACCTTAAATCAAAAGTATCGATTTTCATGTACAGATGGGGAATTATGCATGAATTATCAAGTCCGAATTACCCACAATCCAACGGTTTTATTGAGAGGTGACTTCAAATATTTTTTTTTTGTTACTTTTTTTTTGAGAAGAAGTATTATATCCAGAAAATGAAGTCACCTTGTGAATATTAATATAAGTGAGACGGATTTTTTTGTGTTTCTAAAAGAGGAGATATGAAAAATTAATGTAAATATAACAATGAAGGATCCTGTGAATTGGGCTACCCATCGGGCGCGTCCTTAGGTAGCGGATAGGGGAACGGCCAGGTGACTGGAGGCCCTGTCCGGGAAGCCTCCTGGTCAGTGGCAGAAATAAGTAGGGTGAGGGTAACTAAAACTCCCCAAAAGTCTTTGCAAAACACGCCACCGTAAACCGACAGCTGAATAGCCGCAGGGTGATATGCGGTCACGAACGATTTCCTTGGAAAACTGGGCGAAACCTCATGGTAATCAGACTACCTCGGTGATGCGGGCTCTGTCAGAGGTGACCAACTCTTCCCTTATTACAGAAACAACAAAAACAGAAACCAATCCCGCGGCTGAACAGAAGTGCTCACCTTAATCTAAGGCAGTGGCTGGGGATGAACAGAAATGTCCACCCCAATGTACCACTTAGAATGAGGCTGGATATAACAGATCACCTCCTGATGTAATACAAAGGCCAAGAGGTGAGCGCATTTGCGGTGCCGAGGCCAAAAGGAGAAATAGAGCGAAAGAGACAGGAGTGGCAGCAACTACAAGTGCACCCTCCTCCTTCCCCACTCGACCTTCAACAGCAAGGGCACTTCCCGCGGTGGTCGCCAAGAGCTCCGTCTTGAATACAGGCAAGGAACCGGCTGCCCTTGCAGAAAAGCTCCCTCACTTGTGCACCTCCACGGAGGGAACCCCAAGAAGGTTGAAGAACCGCCCAACGACAGTAATATCGCTGCACTTCCCAAAACTTTCGCGTAGGCCACCGTGAGACACCTCAAGGTTGCCAAAGAGAGTGTGTGTTCGGCGAGTCTTGGCCTATACCTGCCAATATAAAGGAGATGTCTCCGATGACCTAGGAGGACAACTCCTCGGAAGGATGTACAATGGGTCACATGTGGCCTAAGTGATGTGGGCCTACATTCAGCCTCCCTACTCTACAGATACAGAACAATGAAGGATGGATGATAATTCAATACATTATGAAACCTGTTAAAGATTTCTCTTCATTCCATGTATCAAAGAATAAAAATGTTATCAAAAAGTAAAACAAGGAGCTCATTACAATTCTCCTGTAACTAGAAATATGCAAACAATAATATAGAATCAAAAAATACAGTCCTACAGCTTTTTTTAAAAAATATTTCGGAAAAAGTATTTTCCGTTGATCTGTGTTCTATGAAAAATATTATGTATTTTTCGCAAAGTTAATTGAAACTCTTGAATGAATGCTGTTTAATAAATTTGAAGGCTTAGAGCTGCTTATTTCTAGATAAAAATCTTAAATCATATACCTAATCCAAATACACTCTGTGAACTGAAAATGGTTTTAGAGATTTGCCGAACTGACAAATTAATCCTGCGTGTGTATATGTTAATAAAGCTTGTATATTATATAAAAGTTCAAATATTTCAGCAACTATTATTTGTTCATCATAAAAACTCTGCAAACTCTGCCTTATTTACATGGTACAACTTTATTTTGTAATAATTTACCTTTTGCATAACACCACATAGCTAAAGTATTAGTGATTTCAGTGTTGAACATTGTAGTTCAACTATATCGCTTCAGAGTAAACTTCAGAGACATAAAGGATATATTTTCAGGAACATTGAATATATGAAGTTATCAAGTCGAGTGTCACTCAACTCAAATAACATAGAAACAAGTAAATAGAAATGTCTTACCTATAAATTGAAATTTTCAAAATATCATTTCCTTCTATATCGGTAACAGCTATTCCTTGAAGAGATATACTGACAATTACTCTCTGCAGCTTTTTTCTTCCCTTGGCTTTGGTTGTTTTAATAATGTTTTTGACAGCTTCTGTGCTGACGTTGGTACCCAAAATTTTATCCACAGCTGTACTCCCTGAAAGAGGACATGAAGACTAGAAATATTGTACTGATTTGATTCTGCTACATTTCTCATTCGATGGTCAAGGTCAACAGAAGCTGCATCAGAAGGAAGATTTAAGCAAATATTGAATCGAATCATACCAACCTAAGTATTTCAGTTTGAAGGTGACTACTTCATTTTCAGCATCTATAATCTGTGTTTGCTCTGTCTCAGTTTCCTTGGAATTCTGGAGAGCCAACTCTTCTGATAACTCTGAAAATAAAACTTTCCATTAATGATTTGATTCGAAATAAATGAAAATTATACTGCTTCACGGTATTATGAACAGCTTAGTCACATGATCTAGTAGTATATAAAAATTTTGGCAGATTTCCTATACATTTAAAAAAAAATTGAACAGACTTAAAAATTATATTTTTTAGACTCCTCTTCGAAACGTTTGATTTTTGAGGTCTTCCTGTCTAATAAAATACACAAGAAAATAGAACATTCAATATTAAAACATGCGGGATCTTTATATGACGATTTTTATCATTTTCACCCGATACATTTATCACAAAATTCAAATCAACGATTAAAATCATCATCAACCCAATGATTAAATCGAATTCTCAAATTCTATTCATTCTGCACCATGTGGTTTATGAAGTCGTAATTAAAGTTTCAAATGTTTTTTCTCAATGATTATCAATTATCATCGAACAAACCATCTTCATCATCTTCAAATCGACGTGAAGGTTTTAGATTCCATTGAGTTGTTCAATTAAACATTAAACACTTATCGGTTTGCATAATTAGCTATAAATATATAAAATCATTGGAAAAAGCATGGGAATTCTTTATTTAGTAATCATGTGAATGATATCTGATTCGATTCCATAACGAATTTTTGGAGTACAAACCTAATAGGAAAAAATGTTTTTGAAATATTTCAATGATTACATAAAAGTATTTGTTTCGAAAGTATTTTCTTACGTTAATGCAATGTTTATATGAAAAAAGCTGTTTCGAGAGGGCTTTTCTCTTCCAGTTTGTGTTTGACAGTTATTCTTTGCATGATGTAAACATTTTTGTATAGAGTTAATTTTTTTGAAAGTGATTGCTTTCTTCCTTTCTTTGGAAGCTTCCCCCTTTTTTGTATGGAGGTGGATAAATTGAAAGCCGAAACCTTTCCCAAATATTATAGTAGCCCTTGTTGAGTCTTTCCTTGTTATGAAGATAACTATTTCCTCTTCTAGTATGTGAAATGTATAGTGCTTAATATGCTATGCTAAAGGTTTTATCATGTGGATAGGCGGCAAGGAATACAAACTAAAATATTTTTTGTGAGATTATATATCTTAGTATTATTCAACTAACTAACACATTTTTTACATACTCACTCGATCAATGAAAATCTATTCACATATACTTACTTACTATTTCTTTCCAAAAAAAGGAAAATAGAGTCGATATCTATATAGGTATATTATAAGATATGTACAAAACATTGTAGGTACTTTAAATCAGACAAGGTTGATTCAAACATTACACAGGTAAGATTTAAAATTCTTCAATAAACATTACATTCATTTGTTATATCGAATGCATTCACAGTTATGTCCTACGTAGAAACAAATACATTATTTTTAATAGTTGACCAGTCATTCTGAAGCAAATATAATAATTTTTCTAGATCTGTTTAAATTCAAATTGAATTCATATAATATCATGATAATATAGCCCATTTTCAGGAAAAGGCAAAAACCGACTGAGTTTCCATGGCTGAAATTACTGTCCTACGTAGGAGAGATTAGAAACAAATATATCATTTTTGAATGTTTAACAAAATCATTCTTGGCATAATAGAAGGAACTAAAATAATTTCCTTTGATCCCTTCATATTTGAATTCAATATATATTTTATATTATAATAATATATGAAGAATGAGAAACGAAACTTCCTATGTTTTTGTACCACTTGTATTCGTAACTATCGTTACAAATATAAGTGGTATAAAAACATAGGAAGTTTTATTTCTCATTCTTCATTAATGACATACTATCATGTAGTAACAGCTATATCCGTCAATTTATAACAATATAGTCCATATTCAGGCAAATGCGAATTCCGACCTCCGAGTTTCTTTGGGTGATGTACCACTTGGTGAAAAATCGTCATCAAAAGAAACCTGAAAATATGAATACTTCTATAACAATTTGAATTGAAGAGGTTATATTTTTAGGAGTGATTAATTTTTGGGAAAGAAAGTTTTTGGCTTTCTACTACTCCATCTTGATACAAAAAAAAGGGATGAGGGAATCTTCCAAAGAAAGGAAGGAAGT